GTTTTGCACTGGGCATGTGTCCAATTTTGATAATCTAATGCTAACACTTCATCTTACTAATTTAATTTTCTTTACTTCCCTCAGGCCATTACGGCTCAAAGTGCTCCAACCTGTACACGGACCCTGTTCGTGCACAAAATTTTAAAAAAATCTTTTGATGTCACTTATTATAAACCAAGTGCCTTTAGCATTTAATTTATATTTACCGAGTAAATTTGTGTAATAACCTTTTTTTTTTTAACTTTATTTTCATTTGTTTTAAGTTTTAGGTATTTAATGTATAATTTAATACTTTTAGTTTTGAGATTTAATTTAACTTCAGGGAAATTTTTATTGTAAATATCAAAGAAAGTTTTTTAAAAAAAGGTTTAAACTAACTTTATATCATCAGAAGAGTTAATAAAGTTCCAATCAATTAAAGTATACTGCATATTAAAAGGTTATCAATAGTAAAAATATGCTTTTTAAAAACGTGGTATAAAAAAGAATCTAAATTGAAATCGCCTAATGAGTAGATAAATTTTCGTGGTTCCTTTTTTAATATCGTCATTACATAAAAATGAATTGTATATCACATTAGGGACAATCAACTTGTCTTGATTGCCCTTGAACATACTAAAACATTTTGTAAACGTTATCCACATTACGCGAGGTTAGAATTATCTTGTTCTATCTCCAGATTTTGAAGTTTTGAGATAAAACGATTTAAAAACAAAAACTTTAGGAGACGGCATATAAAAAAAATTTTATTACTTAAGTTTTCTCCGCAACTTTTTTGATTATAACCCAGGTTTTATTATAGTAGAAAAACATTATTTCAAGGTACAATACACAATTAATAAATCAAGTTTTTCAAAAAGGGGAGGTAGAACAAAATACTTCTAACCTCGAGATTACGGTATCGTACTGTGTATATATACATACTTTTTGCCAATATAATACCCACGTTCATAGCTAAACATATCAAGAGAATTTTGGCATCATCTAACAGCTGATAAATACAGAATGTACCCAGTCAGCACAAATATGTATATAATGCGTATTGTATACGTATTTAGAGTAGCATAAGATATTTTTAAAACTAGTTACTTTATTCTGAACTTTAAATTAGGCACTTCACACAATTTTACTATTATCATTAATACCATAGTACGCGGATAATAAAGACGTTTTCAGAATGAACAAATTCATTTTTATTTATAATTATTAGGAAAGCGTGTAAAAAAGTACAGAGCCTGTTTTCCCATTTTGGGGCAATATGGGCCAAGAGAGCTACAAAAAGCTCTTTTAAAACTATAAAAATTAACTTCAGTTAAAGAAAAAGATATTGTTCAAATTTTCAGAGTGAATGTATTTATTTACATTTATAAATATCAAAAAAGTATGTTAAAATTTCAGGTCCAATTCCACGAATCGAGGCAATTGGGCCCGGGACAACTAAAGTTCTGTAAAGATAACAAAAATTAACTTTAGTTAAAGAACAAGTGCTTTTTCATATTGTCAGGGTAAATAAGCTCATACACATTTTTAAAACTCAAAATATATGTAAGAATCCCCATTTGGGGGCAATTGTATTAAACGCAATGAAATTTCTGTAAAAACCAAAAAAAAAAAAACTTTAGTTAAAAAACGAGAGTTTAACTTTAGTTAAAGAACGAGAGTTTAACTTTAGTTAAAGAACGAGAGTTTAACTTTAGTTAAAGAACGAGAGTTTAACTTTAGTTAAAGAACGAGAGTTTAACTTTAGTTAAAGAACGAGAGTTTAACTTTAGTTAAAGAACGAGAGTTTAACTTTAGTTAAAGAACGAGAGTTTAACTTTAGTTAAAGAACGAGAGTTTTTTTGTATTGTAAGAGTAAAGAAATTCAATTACATTTATAAAAATCTAAATTTTCCAAGAAATGTCTTTGTACAATACCTTGCTTTGTCCAACCTCCATGTCTTTTCTCCTGAGGCATTTTCAAATTAAAAACTCAAGATAGACTTTCCTTTTTTTTCTTTCTCTTTTAAACATCAAATTTTGTGGAAAAGAGTTGCCCATTGCATTGACACAAGGTATTACACTGATTGTTTCCCGGTTACCTGATTGATGACATTGTAGATACTCTTTTTTAGCAACTATTTTCCTAGAACGATAATCAAACTGCATCCCAGTCCCATCAGTATTCCAAATGTTTTGCGGTTTCTGAAGTAAGCTGTTTTCCGTTAACACATTTTTAAGAATGGAAAAATAATTCGATACTTTACAAACATTCATACACTGGTGTCTACAATCATACACTGATGTCTACAATAGAAATTAAAATAAGAACATAAAAGAAAAAATAGCGGAGCTAGAGGACAAAGTCGAAGAAATAACTGATGTCTAATAGAAATTAAAATAAGAACATAAAAGAAGAAATAGCGGAGCTAGAGGACAAAGACGAAGAAATAACTTGAGGTTTGCTGGATTTTAAGAGAGCGAAAATGCAACTTTGGAGGAAAGCGAGAAAAAAGTTAGAGAAATAATCAAAAATAAACTTAAAATTGAAGAACATTTTGTAATTGATAGAGCTTATCAAGTAACATTTTGTAATTGATAGAGCTTATTAAGTATTAACATAGAGGTTTTAACTATTGAAATCTTAACCAAAAGAACCAAAAACATTTTGAAATTTGAAAGCAATCAAGAAAAAAAAATCTATATATTAGGAGACATTAATCTTGATTTAATCTTGAAAAAAAAATTGAAAGAAAAATGATTCTACCATATTTCATGTTAATTTAATGAAATTTTAAATACTATTTTTATTAACAAGAATACTATTATTATTTTTATTGTTATTAAAAACTAATTTTATTTTTATTAACAAAACTATTTTGTATGAGTTTAAATCAACTTTTATAGACGCGTTTAACTAACGTGACAAGACCTCTAAGTTTTCGCTGAGTTTCCGCATTCTTTATTTTTGTTTAATTTCTATCTTTATTTTAACATAATATTCAATTGTTAACTTTTTTACTTTCTATATATTTGTATAAAAATTTTAATGTAACAAAGAACAGAAAAAAAAAACGTCATTATTCAACGATTTTAAAATGGAAGTTGATAATGACATTTGCAAATAAATGATTTTTTTCAAAATAGTTTTGACTTTGGATTATAATAGTAAGCTCATAAATACAATCTTTAAGGTGGCAGTATAGTGGGAAAAAAAAGTTGAACTTTATAATAACTTTTTTATATTTTATTTTTTCAAACGATTTTTTAACTATAGATGCAACTTTAGCGAGTGGAGACCATATAAATTTTTGTCAAATTTATTTCAGAAAACGAGCCATTGAAAATCAAGGATTTTAAAAATATTTTCTGTTTTTTACAATATTGCAATCATTTTTGAAAATTTAAATTTTCTTTCATACTTTTTTCACTTTAATTTCTATATAATATTGTATTAATTGGTTTTTTTTTTTTTTTTTTGCGTTTTTCTCTGAATTTAATTTTTTGGGTACACCAAGATTTTGGCAAGGATTACCCTTTACTTAGTCAGACAAAATTCATGAAATTTTCATAATTTTTTCATTTTTTGTGGTAGATTGTATTGAGCGAGTCAGATTTTTGAAATTAAATTTCTTTGAATAAATTTAGAAAAAATAATATTTACCCAAATTTTAGCCCCCGATTTTAAAATTTCGAAATATTGTTTCGCTCAATACCATCATCACACAAATTCACATAGATGTAGTATTTTTTAAGTGAAATCTGATAAAGTTCACTAATCAAACTCTTGTCAAAAGGTTATTCGGTCATCTGCTAAATATGCTTTTAGTTACCACCCGGTTTAAAAAAAAAAAAAAAATATATATATATATATATATATATATATATATATATATATATATATATATATATATATATATATATATATATATATATATATGTATATATATATGTATATATATATATATATATATATATATATATATATATATATATATATATAAATATATATATACATACATATATATATATATATATATATATATATATATATATATATATATATATATATATATATATATATATATATATATATATATATATATAATGCAAATTATTGTAGCCTCTTCTTTATTGCATATTTATGCAAACTTTTAAAGTTTCACTTAATGATAAACATAAATTATGCTATTTTGCATTTAAAAAAATCAAAACTTTTTTTCCCACTATACTGCCACCTTGAAAAAAAAAAGACTAATCAAATAATAAGTTTATCATTTATGAAACCCTTTAATTAACTATTTTAAGTGAACTTATGTAATAAACATTTACCTAGAGGGCACAAGATGTGTTTTAGAAGTCTAAACCACGTATTAAAAAGTATTAATGCGTATTTTAGATGTATAAAATATGTCTTGTCTAAACTTTAAAAACAATAAGTAAAAACAAAGTAAATAAAAAAAATTTTTAATAAATATTAATTTTTTTTGTTTAATTTACAAAAATGGTATTATTTATCAAGAATATTAGAGGCTATTGCATAATTACGTCACGCAAAAAAACGTCATTTTTGACCCACCCACTCTGTAAAATTTGGTCACAAATCTCTATACCCACCCATCTCTCCTAGCGTAAAGTCACTTTTATTATAGTTCACAAAATGGGGGATTATTATTAAAAAATGTTTATATTTTGCTGTATGTAATAACTTTTGTTATCAAACCATTTTGTTTATATCCTAGAAGTATACACGCTGTAAGAAATCACCCAATTTTATTGTTCGGGTAAGAAGAGAAAACATTGTATCATATAAAGATCGTTGCAGTTAGTATTCTTTTGGTCAAAATGTTACACTATAAAATGTAACTAGCGTGAAGTCACTTTCAATTCAACTCACCCGCCCATGTCACGTTTCGTCACGTTTTCAAGAAACCCACCCACCCTCGAGCGTGATCTAATTATGCAATGACCCGTCATTTAAAAAAAAAGTTTTTTACACAATTAAAACTTTTTGTTTTTAGCACAATCAGATATTCAAAATGAGCTTGGTTCCCATCGTAAGAGATTAAGAAGAGATGTCACAGCTGATAAAGACGCAGTTGCATTAGTTATAAAAAATGAAATCAATCGTTCTATTTTGGAAAAAGTTAGTGCTTTGTTACCTGAAGCTCTTAAGTCAATTCCACCTGGAACTTGGTGCAAATGTGATAGTAAGAGATGTATTCTTTAAATGTCAATAATAATTAGTTGATAAACTTATTCAAGTTATTAAAAAAATAGTTAACCACAACTGATTTGTTACTTACTTTTTATTTTTTTTACTTAGCTAAAAATCTTACAGAGAATGCCAATAATGAAACTGGTAACTCATATGCACAACCTATGAACAACGAAGTAAGTACATTTTTGATGTTGTTTTAAAGAATAATATTTTTGTAAATGAAGGACAGATCCATTTAAGGGCAATGGGGGCAATTGCGCCCATTTCTCCATGTATGATTTAAAAAAACATGTTCAAACATTTCAATCAGTCTGTCAAATCTTTGTTAAAAAATAATTGCTGTTTAAAACATATTGCAACCTTTTGTCTGAGCAAAATTAACCCAGGTACATATTCAGGATAATCATTGCAAATCCGTCATTTTAATTATTACTTGTCGGATTTATTTATAAGCATAAATAATTTAAAATTAAGATTATGTGTATAGGTGTAAAAAATCAGTTTTTCCACATTATTATAACTACTAAAGATGTAGTTACATCTTTTCAATTATCCAAGGATAACAATATCTGTACATCTATGGATTTTACAGATGTATCTTTTCAATTATTTAAGAATAACTACATCTGTGAATTCTACAGATGTTGTTACATCTTTTTAATTATTTTAAAAATGACTAAAACTGTACAACACAATATGTAGAATACAATCTGTACTATATCTGTGAATTCTACACATATAGTTATATCATTTTAGTTATATTAAATATAACTACAGGATTTTATGAAATTAATAAAATATAATGCATTATATTAACTAGATTAGTTTCATATATGGTTTTTTTTAGATGTAGTTACATCTAAAAAAAATGAGGAGGAAATTCTTTCAAATTTTATATATATATATATACATATATATATATATATATATATATATATATATATACATACATACATATATATATATATATATATATATATATATATATATATATATATATATATATATATATATATATATATATATATATATATATATATATATATATATGTATATATATATATATGTATATATATATATATATATATATATATATATATATATATATATATATATATGTATGTATGTATATATATATATATATATATATATATATATACATACATATATATATATATATATATATATACATACATATATATATATATGTATGTATGTATATATTTATATATATATATATATATATATATATATATATATATATATACATATATATTAGCTATACCTTACCTAGTTGTATAAATCGTTTTAAACTATTAACTTTTATTAAGAATGACGGTAAGAAATGCAAAAATGGAATAAAAGGAGAAAAAGGTGATCCTGGGCCTCGAGGTCCAAAAGGAGATAGAGGTGAAAAAGGATTTAGTTTAATTGAACCGCAGTTAAAACAGACTGATTTGGATAAAACGGTTCTAATTTCTGAAAATAAGACTCTAAAGTGTAAATTTTTTGGTAATCCTATTCCATCCATAGACTGGGTTTTAAAAGGAAATAATTACGAAATTAAAAATGTAGTGTTTAAGAGTTCATCCGAAGTGATCAGTTACTTGACTGTATCAAATGTCAGTTTTGAAAATCACGGAAACGTTTCATGTAGAGGAAAAAGTATTTTGGGTCAAGTAGAAAAGACCGGCTTTCTCAATGTTCATAGTAGGTCAATATAAGATACTTTTTCTTTTCAACTTTTTATGCAATTTATCTTATTTTATACGCTATTATTGTTTGAATTTAAATATAAAAAGATATTTGGGATAACTAAGAGTGATAACTTTATATTCTTAAAAATGTTTTTTAGTAAAACCTTCTGTTTCACTTATATCCACAATAATATATGTGTATTTGGCATCAAATGCAACGTTTCCAAAATGTAATGTTGTTAGTAACCCTGCTTCTAAAATTATTTGGAAAAAAGGGTTTGGGCAACTACCAACAGCGAGATCAATTCAATCAGGGTTTGGCGATTTTACAATAGTAGATGTCCTTGTAGAAGACGAAGGGTTTTATGTTTGCTCTGCAGAAAATTATTTAGGTAAGTAAGAGACATGGTATATCAATAATGATACTTGATGAAATAAACTATAATAAGTTAATTTAAAAATATTTTTAAACACTTAAATTCACTTTTAAGTTACAGTTAGATTGTCTATTGAACTTCTATTTGGGTTTTTTCTAATTGTTTTTTTTACCTTTGAAACTTTATACATTTTTTCTTTAAAAACATCTATTTATGATTAGTAGTTTCATGCTACAACGCTCTTGTTAGAGTTTTTATTCTCTGCAAATATTACTTAAGAGATCTCAACCCTATAATAAGCAATACAAAATCACCATGTTGAAAAATTTAATTCAAATTTCAACTTTAATTTAAACTATAAATAATAAAAAATTCAAAAACAGATCCCAACTATATATTTTCAGGTGCACATTTAGTTAGCGTTTGTGCCGCCAAAAAGTAAAGTTAGTGATTATTGCAATAGATTATCAAGAACTTTTTCTTATGCTATATTGTAGTTGAGCTAACAAGAATTTCATGATTGTTGCCCATTGTATCCATCGGATACCATAATAATACTAATACCAATGTAAGTTTTCGCATGTTCATAAATCCAGATTGATGGGGACCGTACACAATATTTCTCACAGTTTGGTTTCATTAAAATAATAATAGCGTTCTTTTTAAATTGATAATACCCTATTCCACAAAAATCGTTTTACAATTCTTCAAAACTTCAATTTTGAAATTATATATATTTTTTAGGCTGTTACAGATTTTATCAATTTTTGAAATTAAACTTGCAAATCAATTTATAACTTGACCATTTGTATGAAAATAAGTTCAAGCAAAAAATTAAATTATAATTTTTAGGATCTCTGCCACTTCGATTTCTGGCCAAAAATGTTGGGTGTTTTAAACGCCTGGGGACCTTAAAATTTATCCTATAAAATTTTTTATTCTTTTAAATATTATATATTGGATTGAATATTAATCAAATAAAAGGAGCATGTTGAAAAAATTAAGAAATTAGTCTACAGAATCTTCTGAAGTTGGTGAAAAATCCAAGTTTTCCTTCACAAAAACCTATTTTATCACTTGGTGGCGTATAAAAAATGTTTTTGATTTTTTAATAATCTGTTTCAAGACACGGAAAAACATGAAACTAGATTTTTATAATAGTGTCAAATTAAGTCTCAAAATAAATAATTTGATTCATGGAGTAACCTGCCCCGGATACTAACCTTAATGGCCTTTACTTAATAAACATTAGAGCGCAATAAATTTAAAATCCGGAATTTTGATCAGAAAATGTTGTCAAAAAATGTATAAACTAAAGTACTTAAGATAAAATGGTGGTCCGATTAATTATTGATTAAATAAAAGTTTTTTATTATTGAACAATAAAACAAATATGTAATATGATAAATTGTTATAAATGTGTCATTAATATTTTAATTTTAATTTTTGCGGGGATAATATCACTCATTTAATCGTAATTTTTGCGGGGATAATATCACTCGTTTAATCGTAATTTTTGCGGGGATAATATCACTCGTTTAATCGTAATTTTTGCGGGGATAATATCACTCGTTTAATCGTAATTTTTGCGGGAATAGCATCACTCGTTTAATCGATGGTTGGCATACATTAAAGAAAAGTAAGAGAACTCTAAAGCAGCAGAGAAATCTATGGAAGAATTCAAAAAGAAAGGGGAGCAGGTTTTTTGGATTGGTAACGATAATAAATTAAAATAAGGAAATATTAAAAAAACAAGCCTGATAAACTTTCATATTATGCTTATATCATATTTTTAAAAAACAATATTAAACAATATTAAACAATTACCCCAAGTAGTCTAATCAACTTCAGAGTTATAGCTTTGCTCAGACATAAGTGATATTAGTACAGAATCATATATTTCTTTTGGTTAAGTGCAACCTGGCTCAAGTAATCAAAAACAAAAGTTAGGTAAGGGTTTTGTTAAAGATATTGCCATGACAATAGTGTCAAAAAATATTTTATCAAAAGATCTAATGCATGTATGTACAGATTTAATCGTAAGTTCAGGTGAAAATGTGGCTGAATTTTCATTGTCTCATTCAACTATTTGGCAATCTCAAAAAAAATCTATTCGGGAAAATACTATACAATACATGAAAAATGTTAAAATTGCTACCGAACAAATACTTTTTTCGTTTTATAGCACCTTTTGATAGGAAAATTATTGAAGATATCACAGAAGGTAAAAAATTAAAAAGAGATCAATTTGCAGTCTTGATAAATATTGATGGTAAAATGAAGTTTTTGGTATTCCAGCTATTGATCGTGGTACTGGATAAGTTCAATATGATGCTTTAGTTTAAGCTCTAGATGAATATCAGTGATGACGTGAAAGGTTTATGTTTTGATACAACTGCTACAAATACAGGAACACTTTCTGGTACAAATGTCAGGTTTAATCATAAACAAAATTCAATTGATCTAGAGCTGGCTTGCAGGAAGTATTTTTATGAACTATATCTAAAACACTTCTGTGAAAAACAGTGCAGTGGAAAAACTAAATCTCCATAAAATTTAATGTTTAATCTTTCCAACAAAAACTGGAATGGCATTAAAAGAAGCATTGACTCTATAAAGTTTGTAAAATATGACACCCAATTTAATGCTAACACTTTCTTAAAAATCCATAGACTTGACGCTGTAAAATTTTGCAAAATGGCTCTAAAGGAAAACGTTTTCCTTAGAGGAGATTACAAAGAGCTATTGAAACTGACTTATACCCTGAATGATTTTTTTGAAATTTAAGCTTCAGGGTGTGTGTCACATGCACGTTTTATGTCCAAAGCTATTTATTCTCTTAAGATTCAGATATTGAGTTTGCAACTTTCTTATGAATTGAAAGATAATCAAAAGAAAGAAGTGCAGTCTTCGGCCGAGTTTACCTCCAAGAAAATTGTGAAAAATGAAAAAAAAAAATTTAAGACTTATATCAATCTCATTTGACACTATTATAAAAACTATCCAGTTTATTGTTTTTTCCGCCTCTGAAAGTAGTTTATTAGGAAATCAAAAACATTTTTTATACGCCACCATGTGATAAAATAAGTTTTTGTAAAGAAAATTTTGGGTTTTTCACCAATTTCAGAAGATTCTGTAGACTAATTTCTTAATTTTTTCAACATGTTCCTTTTATTCGATTAATATTCAATCCAGCATAAAATATTTAAAAGAATAAAAATTTTATAGGATAAATTTAAGGTCTCCGCCAGGGTTTAAAACACCCAATATGGCCCAAAATCGAATTGGCGGGGATCCTAAAATTTTTTTTTTTTTTTTTTTTTTTGTTTAAACTTATTCTCATTTATATGGTCAGTTTATAAATCGACTTACGAGTTCAATTTTAAAAATTAATAAAACATGAGATACCCTAATATATATATATGTATATATATATATATATATATATATATATATATATATATATATATATATATATATATATATATATATATATATATATATATATACATATATATATATATATATATATATATATATATATATATATATATATATATATATATATATATATATATATATATATATATATATATATGTATATTTTTATATAATGTATATGTATATATAATATTATATATATATTAAATATATATATATTATATATTACAATATGCTCAAACCACTGCACCACGGATGCAATTTATTAAAAATTTTTATGATTGTTAATTTTTATTACATTTTATTTTTTGTAATGCTTTTAAAGTTTTAACATAATTTCATCAAAAAATATATTGCTTTTAAAGTTTTAATTTTATCTTCTTAACATATATAGTTGTAATGGATATAGCTTTAAAAGAAATTTAAAAAATATTTCTTTTTATTAACTACAAACCAAAACCTCTTGTTGATTTATGTACTCTTAGTGTACATACATTGACAACAATAATGAGAACAATATAAATTTATATAATTATTAACTCCAATTTAAAGGTTCGGATACTGGTGTTGTTCAGCTAAAAACAAAACCGTTAAAAATTGCATACGGTCCTCCAGCAGAACTAGTTGTCTTTAGCTATCCTCATACCTTGTGGTGTGGCGCATTCGGAAGGACAAACCAAATGTCTGGAAGTTGGAGATCGTTAGCTGCTGGTCGAACTCTTTACTTCAGTGAATCGAAGAACACAAGTTTTTATAATATTTCATTACAAGTTACTGAAAGTGGTATATACTCATGTGAATTTACTGACGGGATATCGACAACTGAGAGAGTTTCTGTGATTCGAAACTTTACATGTATTATTATAATTATTTTTTTTTTAACAAAATTTATAAATAAGCATTATTATACTAAATTTTTTTTTATTTGATTATTATTTTCCATTAGTTAATTATTTATAACTTTCAGTGATAAATTTATTTATTGTTTATACTATACAATTTATTTACTCTTAGTGCAGTCAAACATGATAACAAACACGACAGCAACTAAAAAAATTTACGATTTCTTAAAAAAAGTTAATGTTCCAACCAATGAATGTATTCGGTGTATGCAAATAAGTCATATGATTTATTATAATTCGAATTCCTTATGGAATTATTTTCAACCTTGCTATTCTAAAAGCAATACTTTGCTAATTGTCAGATTAATGGGCTATGAGAGCTATATTTTTGGAGGGTTCGCAGAAACTCCTTGGAGCAGTAAGTAAAAATTTTTTAATTTTTGATTTTTTTTAATAAAAAGTTATTAATACATTCAATATCAATACCACTTTTCAGTAAGGTTTAATATAACACTTGAAAGTGATTTTACACTTGTTGGCTTTATAGTTTTCAAATATTTGCAAAAGTATTGAAAACATTTTTCATGAGTTTATCCTTTTTAGAAAACTGCAATCTCATTTGAAAAAAATTTTATATTCTTTCCTATTTTTATTTCTAATCATTTAAAAATGCCATGTCAAGCTTTTCTATCAATGACAAATTTGCATTTCTGTCAACAAAGTTTCTATAGCTGGTAAAATAGAGGCTCTTTTACTCCAGGTAATGTTAGGATCATCACAATCACCCTGCTACTAGTATTATGTTAACCAATACTACCTGCCCTGCTGCCTTGTTGAGCGTGGTCTTCATTTTCCAAAGTATTTAACCTTTTTCTTTTATCAACATTTCTCTGAAATCCTTATATTTTCTCCTTAATCCTTATATAACATCTCAGTTGAGGTTCAGGGATTAACGAAAGCTAGAAGAAACAAATTCGGACTTAAAAATCTCCCTGGGACTTTTGGTTGTGTAAAGGCTAGCGATGGTGTCTTGATATAAATACTCTTGGGCAGATGTTAATTGCATCCAGCTAAAATTGTTCTGCCTTGAGGTTCTTGGTTGAGTAAAGGTCAGAGTCGGTGTCTTTATAAAAAAATTCTCATCTTGATAAGATGTTAACTGCACCTAGCAACTATCTTGTAGGAGGCCTCCTAGCAAAGACTTTTGCGGTAAACAGAATAATTCTGCTAAGCAGCCTTGAATCCCTTCTTTATCTATTAGGCTGGCATAAATGTAAACTTGTGTTACATTGTCTAGAATGATGAAGACTGAATCTCATTGATTATTCTTATAAATTTTTGCTTGTGGCTCCTTGATAGTGGTTATACAACTCTTCCTGTTATCTCCCAATTATGGTACAGCTCTGAAACTCCGTTTAATGGTCTGCGAAGCAACGTTCTATCAGTTGAATCTTAACTCTTTCAAAATTCAATTGACTTGCTTTAAGACTAATTTAAATTGATGGGTACTATTCTTTTATTCACAAAGACTCTAATAGTCACATGCTTGGCTTGGGGGATACATACGCATCAATTTACCTAGTGAAATCAGGTTCAAATCCTTTGACAATTTTTTAATGTGCCTCCGCTTGGCACCTCTTTAATCTATCACCAATCTCTTTGTTCTTTAATATTCTTCTGATCAAATTGACCATACTCTTTACCCCTCTTTACCTCTCTCTTTACCCCTCTGCTAATATTGTTGTTATTGGTGACTTTAATGCTCATCATACTTAATAGCTGGGCTCTAATATCTTTGACCCTGCTGGCACTCAAGCCTATAACTTCCGTATTTCTTAATCACTTACTCAGGTAGTTAACTTTGTGACTCGTTTTCCTGACAACCCTAATCATTTATCTTCACTCCTTGATTTATGTCTTGTCTCTGATCCTAGCTTGTATTCAGTTTCTCATTTTTCTTCTCTAAGTGGTTCTGACAATACAATGATCTCTTTAAATCTTTTATCTGGTACTCCATTTTTGGACTCTTTCATTTTTGAACTCCTTCATTTTTGGACTCCCTATCATCGCATTACTTACTATTATTATAAAGCTGATAAAGATTTATTTTATAATTTTCTTCGTGACGGTCCTTGAACTGATATCTTTTTCCTCTCAGCTAAAAAATGCCTCTCCTACATAATTTCCTAGATTCAGGCTGGAATGGAATATTTTATTTCTTCTCGTCAGTTTCAAGTCAAGCCTAATTCTACTCCATGGTTTTCATCCTCTTGTGCAGCTGTGAATATCTAGTCTATATAACTAATCTTTATATCTAATCTATATATCTGATTTTTTCATCTTTTTCAAAAGAACAACTCTCATGATAGCAAAAAGTTGTTTATTATTGCAAAAAATCAATCTAAAAAGGTGCTGTCAGATGCTAAGCTCCATTATTCTCCGTTCACTAAATTTTGTATCTTATCTCAGAAATTAGGCTCTTACGAATTTTGGAAAACACTCAAGAGGGTTGTTAAAAAGGTAAATCTAATATTTCATCACTGACTGACCACATTACGAGAGTAAGGCAGAACTATTTGCAAAGAACTTTTCATCTAATTTGACCCTCACATCTTATGGTCATTATCTTCCTTCCATTACAGTTTAACAGGTAAACTTATTGTTAGACATTCAAATCAGTTAGCTTCAGTTGCTAAAGTTATATCTCGATTAATCTCTTCTACGGCTTGTAGTCCAAACAACATCCCTGTCATAGTTTTACAAAATTGTTCTTCAGAACTCTCTTTAATCCTCCCCAAACTCTTTAGTAAATGCTTGGCTGAGTCTTGTTTTTCTGTCTGCTCGACAATAACATCTGTTATTCCAGTTTTCAAAAACTCCAGTCAAAATTGTGACCCCTCCAGTTATTGTCCAACTTAGTCTTTTTTCTGATATTATCAATGTCGTTGAGACTTTGATCAACAAATTTCTCCCATCCTATCTTAAGTCAAATAACTAAGTGTCAGACAGTTTTCAATTGTTAGCTGACTCGCTAACTGTTATGACTGAAAGATTTTATTGTGCATTTGATGGAGGCGGAGAGGCTAAGGCTATTGCTCTTGACATATCTAAGGCTTTGGACAAAGTTTGGCATGCTGGCTTTTTCCATAAGTATTTTTCATATGATGTGTCTAGGAAAGTTTTTGAGATTTTTAAATCTTTTCTTTTTGATTGTTTTATTAAAGCCATCCTCAAAGGCCAACACTCTTCTTCATTTCCAATAACTTCTCGGGTACCTCAAGGTTCTATCCTTGATCTTAATTTATTTGTTATCTACATTAATGATCTTTCTTATAACCTTACATCTAAAGTAGCTCTTTTTGTTGATGAACTTTATACTCCTGTCTTGACAAAAAAGTCTTCTCTTTTTGAGAACAGGCAGACGATTTTGAATCTGATATGACTTCTGTAACAGATTGGGGCTCACAATGGCCTGCAAATTTTAACTCCAACAAAACTCAGTTATTTATTGCAAACAACAATCGTAGGACTGTCAACATTCCTATATTAATGAATGGCAACTCTCTCACTAAGTCCTTTTTTTTTTATGTATTCTTGGATTATCATTTACTACTGACCTTTCTTTGAAACCATATATAAAATCGATTGCAAAATTAATATAAAACCCTGTAAATATTGAAAAACCATAAATTCTTATTAAATTCTAATTTTTTACTCCCAATTTTTTTTTTCTAACCATTTAAAAACACAAATTATTATTTTCAGAAATAAAAACAAGCAAAACAAAACAATAAAAACAAAAAAAACAACAAAACAAAAAAACTTAACAACAAAGGAGGTTTTTGAGGAGTGGTTTTATTTACATACGGCAAACGTGCCCCATTTGAATCGCAAAACAGCCCCATACTTCTAACTATGATCCAATAAATATGATTTTTTTTGGAAAGAGGGTTAAATAACTACCAAATTTCACCTAAATTCCCAGCTCGCTAAAGCGCATAGAAGAAACTCTACTGGTATAACATGTCCTTATGGCCAACCTGCCCCAGGCTAAGCTAGATGTAATTTTTATTCTTTCTAAGAGAATGATGAAACAATTTCATGACCGTGCGCACCTTGGTGATTATAAATTGAAAACCATCACTCGTTTCAACAGTCTTGTTCTTCTCTCTTATCACTTTACTTTAAATCCGCTGAAAAGCCTTCTTTTTTATATTATTATTGGTTACATTTTTTCATTGTCAATGCTTGTATCTTTATTATTGCCACTTTTATTGCTTTTCTTTTCATTGGAGAATTATTTAAAGTAAAGATTATTGATTGTAGATGTAAAATTTAACACAGTTCAATGCCTTACATTGCAAAGCTGTTTATTATCATTGCTTGAATGTTCTACGTTCTGCATTATGGAAGTTTGATCAGAAGTGCATACAAAGTTTAACACGTAATTCAACATTGTGTAAACCCTTTTTGAGCTAACTCAATTGAATTTTTCTGAATCTTTCTGAAAGTAGTTAATCTACTAATTCCACTTAAAATTTGCTTAAAAAAAATCTGCTTAAAATTTACTAATTTTCAGATCTTACCGATGACTCAGCAATTCTTGCTAATCTAAGGCTACAAATTTTTTTTTAATGTGAACGTTTACATTTAAATATCTGCGACTTTTAATTGAAATCTACTCATGTTAAACTAAATTGCAATAATGACAATTAAATATTAGTGAACTTACCTAGATATGAGCATCTTGAGTATTAGACTACCATATTTTAAATTGATATCACCGATTTCGGCAACAACAAACTGACAAGTAAGAGGATTTAGCCTTGAATTACCAAGCAAGTTAAGGTTGTAATATTAAGAATTAAAAAACTTTGTTATGAGTATCTATATTAAAAACCTCTCTTAATTACAAATCATGTTCTTAATGCAAATGGAAACTTGATACAAATGGAATCATGTTCTTAATGCAAATGGAAACTTCGAGTACAAAAGGTGATTAAAGTATAAATGGTTTCTATTCATATATAAGAAAAAACGGAAATGTAAAAAAACAAAGTAAAAATGATCAATATATCCATAAAACAATAAATCCAAAACAAAAAAATATATAAGTATTTACTTAAAAAACAAAAAACATATTTTTCTTGCGATAAAATAAGAATATAGTAATAATAAACAAAAAATATATATTTTCTTGAGATAAAATAAAAATATAAACTTTAATACAAATTACAAAAAAATATTATATTCAACAAAAAGTAACAAAAATACTTATAAAACAATTAAAACATTGTTTCATTATTATTATGCTTTAGGTAAGCCAAAATCAGCGATAATTTTTCTTCTGTTTTTTTTTTTATTATTATTAATTAGGTGCCCCAAGAAGACCTAAAGGTCTTGTCACAGAGTACCGTT